GATCCCCGTCTAGACTGGCGCTTTTTTCCGGCAAAGCTCCGAGCCGGAAAAAAGCGGCAGCCATTTTTATGCAAATGAAGCGGGGGGATTTAAATCCCTGCTTCATTTGCAATTGCAATGTGTCTAATTTGCATCCCTTTTATGGAAAAGGGATGCAGTCTAGACACAGTCAATGTGTTTTTTCTGCACACCGTGGACTCAGGTAACTGGAGCACAGAGTTCCAGCTGGTTTTAAATCTCAGGGAGAACCTTAGATCATCAGAAGGGCCGGATCTGGTTTGCTAGGGTTAGCCCCTGGTGGGCTGTGGACCATTATTCCTGGCCAACGGGTGTTGCAATTGTCCAGAGCTGCGGAGGCGCAGGTGAATACGGTGGTGTGGGGGCCTGCCAGGGGCTGATCCTAGTAAACGGCTACTGTTTTATTGCCCATCCTGTCACTGGAAAAGCCCCCCAGACTCCCAACAATCTGCCCCCCCCTTATCCTTCCTTTGTTCCGAGGGCCCCAGGTCCGTTCATCGCCACGCTTGTGTTGGGTGACCAGAGAATTTCACCTAGTTACCGGTGCATTAATTCCAATAACTTGTGTTTGGCTAAAGCATCTTCCCCAAAAGCATCCTGGTCTGCATAAACAGGGACATTTGGAGCAGGAATAAACAAGTTTATACTCCGCGCTGGTTAGGCCTCAGAGTATTGTGTTCAGTTCTGGGCACCGTGTTTCAAAAAAGATGTGGAGAAACTGGAGACAGTCCAGAGAAGAGCAACAAGAATGATGAAAGGTCTAGAGAACATGAGCTATGAAGAAAGGCTGAAAGAATTGGGCTTGTTTAGTTTGGAAAAGAGAAGATTGAGGGGGGACATGATAGTGGTTTTCAGGTATCTAAAAGGGTGTCAGAAGGAGGAGGGAGAAAACTTGTTCATCTTGGTCTCTGAGGATAGAACAAGAAGCAATGGGCTTAAACTGCTGCAAGGGAGGTTTAGGGTGGACATTAGGAAAAAGTTCCTAACTGGCAGGGTGGTTAAACACTGGAATAAATTGCCCAGGGAGGTTGTGGAATCTCCATCTCTGGAGATATTTAAGAGTAGGTTAGAGAAATATCTGTCAGGGATGGTCTAGACAGTACTGGGTCCATGACGGCAGGGGGCTGGACTTGATGACCTCTCAAGGTCCCTTCCCGTCCTAGTATTCTATGATTCTATGATTTAAGTTGCGTTTGCTCAGTATTTGGTACAGGTGCGATTGCTGCTGGACGACTCGCCCAGTTCCGATGCCTGCGGTTCAAAGAGGAGCTGTAGAAAGTGGAGAGGGGTCACAGAAGAGCCTCAAGAAGGGTTAAAGGACTGGAAAACACCAGCCCAGGAGCTCCTGCTATTTGACTTAACAAAGAGCTGGCTGGATCCCTGGCAATCCTTACCGACCTGGGGATCAAATATTTGAGAATGGGCACTTCACGCTAGCAGACGAAGTTCTAAGCAGATCCCAGAGCGGGGAGTGGAAGCAGGACAAATGCAGACAGGAAATAAGGTAGAAACCGTGTCAGGGCTGTCACAGGCATGTAGGGCCTGGGGAAACCCTTCACCCCACCCTATTCCTACTCCACTTCTTCCCCTAGATTGCCTCAGGGCTGGGGGGTTCTGCTGCCACAGCGAAGCCGAGTGTAGCGGGCTGGGAAGGCAGCAGAGCGGAGCACGCTGCTGGGTCACTCCAGCTCCTGCCACCTCGGTGAGTGCGGGAGGGGAGTGACCCCACTGTTGCCCAGTACCAGACCCCCAGATAATCCCCTAGGCCCCACCCATAGGACAGCTGAGGTGGCTGCTGTGGGGGACCCCAAAGTGCAGCCGCCCTGAACCATTCTATGGACAGGACGGCTCCAGTGAGCATAATTCGCCGGTGGAACGTTTCGCCGAGGCATGTGGTGGATTCTCCATCGCAGGCCATTTTTAAACCACGGGGTGCCTTTTCTAAGTAATCAGCTGCCGTTCACACAGAAACTCATCGATTCCAAGGCCAGACGAGATCCCTGTGACCCTTCAGCTGGGCCGCCTGCTAAACGCAGGTCAGAGACCTGCTCCCTATCGTTCCTAGAGCAGAACGTTTCGAAAAAAGAGCCAGCCAATTATTGGAAGGAAGTTCTCTGGCCTGAGCTATGCAGGCGGTCGAACTAGACGATCTAGGCCCCTTCTCACCTTTGGGTCGTCGAAACCAGTCTGGATGTGAAGCACTCAAGAGATGGCGAGTCTGTGATGTCCCTGGGTAGTTAGTGCCCATGATCATGTCTCATTTGAATTCCTCTCATGAGCAACAACTTCAGCTCAAATTTGCTTAGTATTTTTTTTTAATGCTTAATTGTATCATGAGTCATGGGGGAAGCTCTCTTCGGGGAGGTTAATTCTTCGTCCAAGCCTCTTCTGCTCATGGAAGGAGCCCCAAGGCCCTTCGCCATCGGAGGAGCACCAAACCTGCCACTTTAAGACACTGGCCCAACCCCTCAGCCAGCCTCGGCACCGGTCCAAGCTGCTGGCCCAACCTCTGGGCCAATAATGGGCTTCTTAGTCCAGCATAGAAAGGTCTAACACAGCAATGGGCAACCTAGACTTAAGAGTGGTCTGCGAGAGGCCTTCCATTTCAGTGGGCCGCAAGACTGTTGTAACCAAGACACTCTGCCAAGATACAGTAGTTTTGCTGACGGTGCTGGCGTATTTAGGATTTGCGGGGGGTGCCGACCAAACCGTAGTAGCGCTGTGATTGGCGCAGCCACTGTTGTGTGCAATCCGCACGCACCTCCCGTCACGGGCCCTGGCTTTAAGTGCGTCACTTCAGTAACACCGGTAGGAAAGAAACGAAGCAGACGGAGACCAGTGGAACCTGGCCATCCTGCCTGTGGGCACCGGTAAACAAAATGTCTCATGGGCCACTTGTAGAACCCCGATGGGCCGCATGCAGCCTGCGGGCCACAGGATGGCTACCACTGTCTAACACAATCCAACAGCTAGAACTTGAAGCTAAACAAATTCCAACCGGATCGAAGGCGTACATTGACAAAAATCAAGGAAAAATATGAAAAACCCATAACTTGATACACTTATAAAAATGTAAATGGAAAAAAAGACTTAAATGTCCATCAAAATTATAAAAAATAAAAATTGGATTCGGCCAAGACTAGCTATACTGAAGATTAGACAGAATCTAATGGTTCCTTCTTGGTTTTGACTTCTGTGACCCCCAATATTTTTGTAGTAGAGGGGACCCCCTTCCCAATCCCCAAACAGCAGCTTATCTGTTGTGTCCCAGTCAGCGTCCTCCCATAGACTCCGAGGCAGAACAAGTGTGTGAGATCCTGGCCTCAGGAGTTGGGAAAGTCCCTCTGCCTGGTGCACTGCTTGAACCAGGCCTTCATGGGAACACAGGAACTGAAATAGGTCAGACGCAGAACTGGGACCTTGGCACCCCCCAGCTCATTGATCACGGCAGAGGGGGTGCTGAGTATTGACGGCATATGGTGGCTTCATTACGTTATTAATGAGGATTTCAGGCACTGAGCCAGCCAGCCTGCAATGTCTTCCTAGCTTTATGGGTGAGATCCAACAAACGCCGGATGAAGACCTCATGGACAACCTCACGCACGCGGGAAGGAGGTCGTGACTTCCAACCTCGGGCCACCTCTGCTTTAATACAGAGCACAACACTGGTAGGAGGTTGGGCTTCTTGGAAATAGGTAATCCAAAGCGTTCACTCGATACTTCACAAGCAAGACAATGAACGGACACTGGGAAATTGGAAGTAAGCGACTCTTTTAATCTTGCAGGGCAAAGAAAGGGGCTTGCAATTTTTTTTTATTCCTAATTTCAAGTTGAATGGAAAAGAAAAATTCCAGCAAATTGAAGTAACATTATTTTAGTTGAAACATTTGGTTTTGAGTATTTCAAAACGATTAGTGTAAAAAGTAAAACGGAAGGATCTTTCTAAACATCAAGTCATTTCCAAACAAATATCAAAATGTTTTGGCTTGATTTTGAGCATCTTTAAACATAAGACCTTTTTTTAAAAGGAAACTGGGAAACAAATCATTTTGAACCAAAAAATATGTTTTCTTTTGAGCATTTAAAAACGCTTGTATTTAAAAAACAAAACTCATGGAAATTTCAAATTGATAAACCAAAAGAATTCCCTCCCCCTCCCCAAAAAGTCAGAATGAGACACTTTATTTTTCAGATTAAAAAAACATTTTTTTCTCAAAACAATTTGGGAAAACTGATAAATCTGTGAAACTTTTTGGAGCTTCCAAAAAAAAAAAAAATCTACATTTGCATTGAAAAAAAATTGGTTTAAAAAATGTCCATCCACTCCCACTCTCCGATTTCCATGTAAGTGTTCTCCGGTGTGACATAGGGGTGCGGTATTGTTAGACAAAAGGAGGGATTCACCAGCAGCCGGCGATTCTTTCATCAGCTCAGCGTCGTATCAGTGTGTTATTTATAGTTATTGGCTGTGCCCTTCAACATTCTGTGCACCGTTGCTCTTTATACAGATGGTGCTGCCCTGTCTTACATGTTATTAGGAGGTCATGGGGGAGAGAAAGCGGGGAGATTTGAGAACTGGGGAATCGTTTGGCATTGTGGGACAAACAGGTTAGCTGGATGTTACTTCTCAAACTAGCAGGCAGTGCTGCAGTTAGCAATGCCAACATTTCAATGGCCTTTGTTAAGTTTCAGAGTTAATAACCAAAGGGGTAGTTTGGGCCTCTCCCCAGGCCAGCTTCAGGTAAACGCCAGGAAGTTCCTCTCTGCGGCACTGAGGGTGAGTCGACGCGTGGGTGACTGCTCGACGCGTGGGTGACTGCAGGAGCATGCGGATGGCAAGCCAGGGATGCTGTAGCCAGGGAGTTGCTAGAACCCCGAGTCACCTCCAAAGCCCGGGAGAGAGAGGAAGAACTGCTCAAAAAGGGGCTCTGTGGTGGTGACTTCCTTTCTAGCACTTCCCCAGGGAGCCGGACACGCTTTGGTCATGGCTAGGGTTGAGGTCGGTTTTAACCCGTGACAATGCATGGTCTGAGGGGACTGCTCCCGATGGGTGATGTAGCCCCTATGGAGGCTTGGAAGGGAATTGAGCCCACACCAAGAACTCACCTCGGTATCAGAACAAGACTTCCCCCATGCCAGTCTGTTCCGAGTGCACATCGTACCAGCTTGGGGGGGGGCATTAGGAAAGCCACTGCTATCCCTGGTGTCTCTCTGAGCCAAGGGGGTTACTTTAGGGCTTCCCTTTCCAGGCAAGCCAGGCCCACTTTGGTATCGTTTTTCCTGGGCCCACCCCAGCCAGGCCTCCTCTCTTAGGCTGAGTGTGTTGACATGGTGCCCTCTCCAGCCGGGTCTCCTTTCCATGCGGGCGGGGTGGGGAGAACTCCTTCTGCCCCGGAGTCCCCCTTCCAGGCTGCCACGGGGCCTTCCCCACCTGGGTTCCCTTTCCAGGCAGCCATGCCGGCACTCTCGCCCGGGTCAGGTTTCTCCTTCCAGGCGCCCGTGGCGGTGGCGGTGGCAGCGGGCTCGCCGGCTTTCCAGGCGGTGTGGGTGGCCACGTGGCGCTCCAGCAGGGTGCGGTGGGAGAAGAACTTGTTGCAGATGCAGCACTGGAAGCGCTCAGGGCGGTGGGTGCGCATGTGGACGTTGAGGGAGCTCTTCTGGGTGAAGCGCTTGCAGCAGACGGAGCACTGGAAGGCCCGCACGCCTGTGTGCGTCACCATGTGCTTGAGCAGGTAGTCTCGCAGCGAGAAGGAGCGCCAGCAGATGCTGCACTGGTGGGGCTTCTCCCCTGCAAGACAGCAGCGCGGGAGGATGTGGGACTGGGAGGCAGTGCCTGGGTCAGCCAGCTCAGACCCCTTCATCCACCTTCCCAGAGCCCCATGGCTCAGCCCCAGCCCCAACCCCCCTGGTTCTGGATTCTAGGGCTCAGCATCAGACCTGACACTCCTCGATCCCCGATTTCTAGGGCAGCAACCCAGCCCGGATCCACCCTCGCGTCCTGCCCTGGCCTCTCCGCCCCGACTTCCTGGGGTTCACTGCCCCCCCGCCCAACTGGGGAAGAAATGGACCATCCACTGGAGACTGGCTTCTGTACAGAGGTAGATTTCCTCCTCTGGGACAGGGTAGGGGGTCGTCTCTCTGCAGCTCTTGGGTGACCCTGCGCTGGGGTCCCGAAGCCCAGAGGCCTGCTGTCCAGGAGAAGGGGGAGGAGAGCCCCTTTGGGTGACCCCAGCTGGGGTGGAGCAGACTGGCTCTCAGCCGTGGAGGGCGGGAGTTGTCTCACAGCCTGCCCAGATTCTCCAGGAGAGGACAGCGTAGAGCCTTGGCCAGGGCAGAGCACGTGGGGCAGGGACCCGCAGCCAAGTGGGACGGAGCGCTGGAGCGTCGCCGGGGCGATCCAGACCACCATGGGACCCCCAAACTCCCTGCAGGATACAGGCCCCCACCGTCCCGGCGCCATCCTGCCCTTCGGCAGCTGTGTCCAACACGGGATCCTGTAGCACGTCCCAGGGCAGCAGGCCCTAGCGGGTGGACAGGCTCCGCTAACGAAGAGCCAGGTCCATCCGGGAGAACTGCTTCCTATGCGGCTGGGCCTTATACAGGGTCATGTGGGCTCAGGCCGGGCAGTAAACAGGAAGGAAACGCGCCTGGGGAAAGAATTCCTCGGGGGACTTGGCTAGGAAGCCAACACCAATGGGTTTTCCCTAGGGAAGAGTCCCCAGAAGGCAGAGACAGACACCTCTGAAGGCGGGGGAGGGCAGAGGCCTACCAGGAAAGGAAACCGAGGAAGACAAGCCCTCGATGGCTCTGACAAGGCAGGCGGAAGGAGTCTCCGAGGAACTGGCTCACCAGGGTGGAAGAGAAGCAGCTGAGCTAAGGAATTCTGCCCTGTTCTGCCTGCAGGGACCTTTCCCCAGCTGCTGACAAGAGGCCCCGGCTCTGGAGGAGGGCTTGTGGTAAGGGACGGGGGACTGCCAGACAGCGGTTAGTTCAGCCTTTTCCCCCCTCCAGCGGCAGCTTGGGGCTGCAGACCTGTTTGCATCATGTTCTGCCTTTGGGTGACAAAGTAAACTGTTCAACAGCCAGCAGGCTCACAGGATTCAGACAAGGCCCACTTGGGGAAACTGAGGCAGAGACGTAATGGCGGTGCTGCCCCAGACCGCCCAGGGGCTCCCGCCGCACAGCTCTTCCCTCGCTGGGACCGCTGTCCTTGCTTTGCAGAATGGAGACGCCTCTCTAGGAGGAGACACGACTCACCGCATGGGCGCTGGACCCCAGCCCCGCCAACGAGGGTCCCTGGAACAGCCCGCCTGCTCATATAACCCACTGGCGGGTGTGTGTCACAGGTCCCTCCCCTTCTATCCCCACAACTCAGTCTGGCAGCCCTGACCTCTTAGCTTGAGAGGGCCCTGGTATGACCCTGGGGGGATGTTTATTGGCTCAGCCCCGGATTCCACCCCTGCTGAGGCGCTTCCAGCCAATCAGAGTGAGAGAATTCACTCTGCGACCCTTACCAGCTGGGGAAGGAACAAAGGGCACCTGCCCCCAGGGCCCTCCACCCCCCCAGCCCTCTTACCTGAGTGGATGAACATGTGCTTGGTGTAGTTCTTGCGGGAGCTGAAGGTCTAGGGATCGGAGCAGCGGGAAGGCCCCGGGCGCTGGGCCTGCTCGCCGTGCAGGGAGCCTGTCACCATGGCGCTGGGGCTGAGCTGCACCAGGTTGGCAGCTCCGGCCTCCTGCTGGCCGCTGTAGAAGCTCTGGGCCACGCCGGGCTGCGGCAGGTGGAACTGAAAGTTGCTGGTGGTGGTGCCGGGCCCAGCGGCACTCACCTCCACCTTCAGCTCCTGCTGGATGCCCAGGGAGGAGACGAACGCCAGGCCCCGGGGCTCGGGCGCCGGGAAGCTGGCCGGGGCTGGCTTGAAATCTCCAGCCAGCGTCCTCATGTTGGAGGCCTCCAGGCTGCAATCGGAGTGGAACTTCTCGCCCTCCCGGGCTGCCCCCTGACCAGCCTCATCGCTCTGCCAGGCCGGGATGAAGGACTCGGAGAAGACGTCCTGCCCGCTGAAGAAATCCTGCCCCTCCACGGCGGGGTAGTCCAGCTGCACCCCGTCCTTCCTGCCTGCCCCCCCGCTCCCACCTCCAGC